CAAAGAACCATTTATCACAGGTAATGCATGCACTTTATCAACATATGCCTACGGCAATTTCCCGTTCGCATAAATTATTGATCTGGTCGACATTATGCCAGCCCATCGCACTGTTTCTACAGAATGAATGCCTGGAGCCCCTTACAAACACCGGTTTGATTGCCTTACCTGTCGACAATTTCCCAGGTCATTCGGATACCACATGGTTCCCTCCAGTCATATGCACATATACAGTAGGTGGGCTAACTTATGAAATGTCAATCGAAATTCCGAAATGCGTTTTCATTTCGAAAAGGTTAATAAAGTAGGGTTATAAAACCAGTCAGACTGCAGCAAAATTCTATAATATTTCAGTTACCACAGAATGTCGGCTTTCGAATGAACTTCCTCCCGGCCGCATCCAATAACTACACTCTGTAAAAGTGCCTTTTTATGTAGCATGAATTTTTCTCATTCATTTTCTATACCCCTAAAAGTACAATTATATTTCATGAAAAATATGCATAAAAATATTCATTCTTTGACTCATTTGGTAGAAAATTATGTCTTCTAATTGTATAGTCGAAGAAGGCACATAATTCGATATTAAAAAGTAGTTTATAATTGTGGGAATTTTAAATACCGTTAAATGGCCGTTAATAAATCGTCATATCTCTGCCTTTATCAACGTGCCTTGTAAAGTTAACAATATGGATCAAATCCACTGCTTAATTTTATGAACCCTATATGGTCCACCCTTATTACCGTAGAGAAATGTGTGATTTTCCGTACGCCAAAAATATACGGCTTGTAGTTTGGAGACCCTGAATCCAAGTGTGACGTTAGGGCGGGTTCAAAATTATTCGGAAATTGGAAAAGTTTTTGAAAACCGACTAATCCGCTTTCTTCGAGTATAAAATTGTAAGAAGACGTAATTTTCTACCGAATGAGTAAAAGAATGAATATTTTATGCATTTTCCCCATGAAATATAATTGGACTTTTAGGGGCATCGAAAATCAATGAGAGAAATGCATGCTATATAAGTAGCCATTTTTTACAGAGTGTAGTTTTTTGCATGCAGCCGGAAGGAAGTTTGTTCGAAAGCCAACATCCTGAGGTAACCGAATTATTATAGAATTATGTTGAAACCTGACTAGCTTTGCAACCCTACTTAATTAATCCTTTCGAAACGAAAACGCATTTCGGAATTTCGGTTGACATTTCATAATTTAGCCCACCTACTGTAAGATACTAGTCGCTGGAACAGCAGAGCCCAGGTGTCCCTTACTTTGACGACGGCAGTTCGACCATTGCGAGCGACAGCGTTCGTTTCATGCCTCACAGAATGGGCTCAACGCCAGTGACTTGCGCAGGTAATTTTTGTCGGGACAGACTTGCGCGGCATCTGCTGCATTCCCTCCTCCGTCGCCTGACTGACTGCGATGGCAGGGCCCTGTCAAGATGGTCAGGGTTGAGCTGGGGTAATAGGTTGATGAAGCTAAAGGGCCTGTCTACACCTGCGGAACACCGCATGGTTTTCGCTGCATGTGCTAGACTCTCTGTAAGAACGGCGCGGATATCACACTGGTGGGCGTGCCACAGAGGAAATTGTTGCGGACTAACTCGGTTCTGGGACGGACAGACTTATGCCGTAACATGGCGGCCTTGGAAGCCAAGATTTTAAATCTAGCCGTGTCAGTCTCAAACGCATCAGACTGCTTGTAGTGTGGGGTAAAAGGCCACGCACAGATGCTTGTTATATGCGAGAGAGAGAGAGGGTCTGAAGACGGAAGTAAAGCAGTTACCGGAAGTAGATGTCGCCAGCAAGGTAGGAGCAGACCCCATCATCATTTTGAGGGATACCATCCTCTCTAACTTAGGAAAGATGCGATTTTGGACCTTTTGAAGGATGGATACGAGGATTCTCAACTAAGGAGTGAAGTCAGGAGTAGAAGACGACAGTAGTCCCATTAGCGGGGCAAAACGTAGCCGGTTAGTATTTTGAACTCATCCTTGTCTCCTTTACCTGATAATTAATATTCTGATTGATAGAGAACACGCGCGGCCCAGGTAATTGAATAGAAGAAGGCGGGAAGGCGATCATTGTGACCAATTGTTTATTTATTTGACGTTTCGAACTCTCACGCGAGCCTATCGTCAGGGGATGAAAAAAACTGTACAGCTCATCGTATATTTAGCTCACCTCTGCCGGGGGTGACCTCCAGCTGCGCTGCGATTGGCAGATCGATATGTCGATTAATCGAGTCCTCGGTTGACTGCCACGCTTCCTGCAGCAGGCGAGCAACTCGGTCGTCCGACTGGCCCAATATTCTCATGCACTGAATGTCAAAGCCGTGTCCTGGCGAAGAGGCGTGGGCAGCTACCAAAGAGAGTTTATCCTTCTGTCTCACAGCCAACTCGTGCTCGTGCAATCTCGTGCGTACCTGTTTGCCGGCTTCACCAACATAATTGGCTTGATCACAACTGCAGTCTATCCGGTAAATGACTCCCGATTTCTGATTTATTCACACCCACTGTCTGCTTAAAGCAAATTATTTTATTCCCGTAAATTTTTGAACCATCTTCTACGCGAGCGCTTGAGTAGGCAGCCTCCTGAATGCCTACACAGGCGTCTGCTTTAACGTCCGCATTGCTGCCCATGCGGCCTCCGCGTTGCGCGTTTTTGCTTCATCGTCGGGCTACTTCACGACGGTAACGGACCTACACTATTGTCTTTCGGCCTGACTACGCGGTTGGGCGTCTGCGTGCTCAACAGGCTCTCTGCCGCTGTCGACGAGATGTTCTTAGAGTCTCGCGATCCTTTCCTTCAGCAAACCGGCTGCCAGCATCAATCGTTCCTCTTGACCTTTTGAGACACTTTTGCATTAATCGCAGTGCCAACGACACAATCGTCGAAGAACTTATTTCCTCATGGCTAAAATAATCCAGCATCATCCCTTTCGGGTGCTTGCGGATCCACTTAAAACGTGAGTGGGGCCACGTCGCCAGCGAATCTTGCTAGCAACGGTCAAACCAGTCCAACTCACGCTACTCGAACACATTTCGATTTTACATTTGCCTACTCGGTCACATTAACGTCAGCAACTGCAGTATCAGACCTTTCCTAAGAAATTTTAATCGAAATTCTGAAATGTGTTTTCATTAAGGAAGGATTACCTAAGTGTGGTTGTAATAGTAATTACCGTGCAGTATAATCCCAAGATATTTCAGTCACGCCAAGCTGCCGACTGTCGAATGCGCTTCATTACAGTCACCTAGAAAAATCATCCTCAGAAATGAATGGATACTTGAGTCTTATAAATGTTTCGCATTGATTTTCGGTGCCCTTATAAACTCAAGTATATGTTATTGAAGACATGCACAAAGATACTCTTCCATGTACGTATTTGATAGTAGAGTAGGCCCTATTCATATTTCAGATATGAAGAAAGAGCGCCTTTATGTTTAAAACAGCTTTTCGACTCCCGGTTACTTTTAAACCCTAGCAGAATTTGCACTTGCGTCAATGGTTTGCAAACTACATGCCCCGTACTCATTGCGTGAGAAAATTCATACACTTGCCAAGCCATTAGGAAGGTGTCATAGAACGCCAACAAAACTTTGTAATAAGTGCACACTGTACTATTTACTTCACAAGGCGCATTCATAAACGGACAGACAGGATGCTGTATGAATGGACATTTCAAGGTCTTATGTCTCCAACTTGAAGACTTTTTAAGGCCGAAAGACAGTTGTTCTCCGAGTATAAAATTTGAAAATGCGGTTTGTTGCCAAACGAGTGCAATAAAGAATGTATATGTGCATATCTTCTATAGCATCAAAAATCAGTGAGAAAAGTCATACAACTTAAACAGTCATTTTACGGAGAGTGTGGTTTCCAAAGATGGCCGCCAAGAGTCTTATACAAAAGCCGGCATTCCGGTGTGACTGAAATACCGTGGAATAATACTGATGAGAATCAGCTTTACGAACCCACATTTAAGAACTTCGCTTGACATTTCGTGAGGTAGGCCAGATGCCGTATTTAAGACACCTCAATATCCGCCAGAATATAGACCGTAACAGGACACTGTGGGAAAAGTAACCCCAACCTGTCCCTACTGTTATTATGTATTATTATTATTATTATTATTATTATATTTCAGTCCCGGATTGGTCAGGTTAGACATCAGGAGGCTCAGCAAGCAACCATGAAGCCCCATCTCGCCTGTTCACTTAAGTGCATATTCAAGTGTCGCAATAGTCTCTTGAGTCACACATGAAGCATAATACTAATCAGGCTGTCATCGGATATAACATTAGACATCCAGTTTCTGTTGAAGATGACCGCGGTAAATAACGAGGGACGAAATGTAGCATTTAAAAACTGCTTTCTTGCCCTTTTCTACGTAGAATCACTTGAACGCTTCAAAATATTTTTTGCTTAGAAAAAACAGACAGTGATGGAATGTAAAACAACTGAGAATTAAAAAATAATAAATGAAAATCTTGCAGTGCCTGTTTACATACTGGGGGGCTTAGAGTGTCTAAAGACGCCTCGGGGCATGGACCGGTGCGAGTGGGAGTCAGTGAACTTTGTGTAAACGGAAGTCGCAACAACCATGTCCCACTGATGTGTGTTTGACCGGGAAAATGTAAAACGCTTAAAAGAATGCTCGAACGGGATGAAGAACACAAACATGGAGTACAAATGACGGGAGTGGCCGATCAAAACGTCAGAAATGCACATATACTTTGCAGGATACATTGTCTGCATGATGACAACCTCAGGAAAGTCCCATCTCAGGGAAGAATGAGGAAATAATAATAACATTGTAAGGTTGAGCACCTAAAATAATCTGTTATGTACAGATTTATGAATGCTCGACGGGTTGTTCACTTGTAGGTAAAAAATGACATCTATATACTCCTTTCAGAAGGGCACATTTGGACACTTGTGGCTGGGTTGAGCGGGAAAGTAAGTTTGAGGTTGTGGGGGAGGGGGGCTGGGCTGGAAAGTTTACGAGGTGTCAGGTCGACTGGTTACACGAAGATCAGCGAGGCCTGCGAGGGCCGCCGCAGTGATCTGATCCGTGGCCTCGCCTGCGAGGCCATAATCTCTAAAGGTCCCCTCAAAACTGGCAGCTTGATGACGTGTTTGATGAAGCAGCGCCCTCTGAGTCATGTTCAGGGGAGAAGATTGCGGTACGTGAGTGGGATTGTCAATCTCTACTTCCTCATCCTCTTCCAGTCGAGCCTGTTTGACGAACCGCTTAGCATGTGGTGGTGGCGACGCAGTTTCTGTCTCCGGCCAGGAGCTGGGCTTATTTCGAATGTCCAATCGGCTGGCAGCTCGTCGGTACAGAGAGGCATCCAGGGCTTTTGCAGTAGCGCTATTCGCGCCAGTAGAGGCCTTGTATGATATTAATTTCTCGGACTCTGTCGCTGATTCTGATTTGAGCACTGGGATCGCCTCCCCTCTTTCTTCCTCTCCGACTGGTAGCCACGTCTGCGCTGGGGTCGGAATCAACGTCTCCACAGACAGTGCAGCCAGACAGGTCCAATACGGTGCATGGATTTTGGCTACTTGTTTCAGTGTCTCCAGTGCTGCCGGATGCGGTAGACGGGCTCGCTCCCTGTCAGAGAGGCAAAACATAAGTGGGGCCTCATCGAGGGCTTTATTGCGTTCAGACGCCGAACGTAGGAGCGCCCTCACGCAGGCTTCTGTGCAGTCACAGAGACTATTCAAGTCATAGCCGCCTTCTAGACCAAGCACCACCCTGCCACCAGCAAGCTTTTCGTCCGTCAGCAACCGTGTCATCCACCCGAAGGCTGCAGGGCTGACATTATACCCTCCCAAATTGATAGAGTGTCCTGGCGCAGCATCGAAACCCGCAGAGACGAGAATCAGTTCGGGCTTGAATTCCCGCGCAACCGGTAATATAACATGACGAAATGCGGCCAGGTATTCTGCATCGCCCATGCAAATGCCATTGGGCCATGCGATGTTGATTGTAAAGCCCACACCGGGGCCACTGCCTGTTTCCTCCAGGGATCCAGTGCCGGGAAAAAAGGCTCCGTCGTCGTGACGGTGCAAGGAAATGTAGAGGACCGTAGGGTCGCAGTAGAAGATGGTCTGTGTCCCGTTGCCATGATGAACATCCCAGTCCACAATGAGGATTCTTTGGGCCAGTGAGCGCTCTTCCGGCTTTCCCGAGACTAAGGGCTCCAGTCCATTGAAGACGAGGGAGTTGTAGGTGCACAGGGTGTATTGGTTTGAAGGCGTCTCCTGCTGACTCGGCAGCACCGCCCTCAGAAGCTGAACTCGTCGCGCCGCCACGGCCACCGAGTTGAAGTAACAAAAGCCCATAGCTTGTCCAGGCTCCGCATGATGCCCCGGTGGCCGGACGAGGGCAAAACCGTTGGGACACTGTCGCAGGACAACCCGACAGGCGAGATCCACCACGCAGCCAGCTGCTAATCGGGCTGCGTGGGCGGTGTGTCCGGCGGTGTGCCAGGCAGTGTCCGAGTCAACTCCAATGCCGCCACAGGGCAGGAGGCAGAGCCGCACAGTGGCTAGCAGAGCGGGGTCGATGCGCGACCGGCTGGCTGGATTGCTACCAAACAGAACAGTGTAGACATCGCGATGGGCCAGCTGGAGTTCTGTGAGAGCCGCCCTTCGGCCTGGCTGATGTTGACACTTTGTAGTGAGGCCTGTGAGCTGCGTGCGGGGTGGAGGCAGGGAAGGAAAGATGTACGTAAACATAGGGCGTCGGTGGCAAGTAAATACAGTGATTGGCCGATTTCATAAAATGTTGGCCGAAAATCTGAAATGCATTTTCGATTAGGAAGAATTACGTGGTCGCGGTTGGAATACTGATTATCTTGCGGCATAATCTTATCACATTTCGGACTCGGCAGGATGTCAGCTTTTGAATATACTGATTTTCAATCTCCTGTAGAAACCGTACTCGATAAAAAATGACGACTTATGTAGCATGCGTTTCTCCCCTTGATTTACGATGGTCTTGCAAATTCAAATTATCTTATAGAAACCATAAACAAAGATATGCTTTCTTTCAGTCAATTAATAGAGAATTGCATCTTCTTTATATTTCATACTCAAAAAGGGGCATAATTAGGTTTTACAAAAGTTTCTAATTATGGGGGTTTTCAAGACCGCACAATTTCCATTCGCATAGCATCGTACCTGGCCGTACCACAGCTCCTCATGAAATCTACAACATAGTCCGCATCCATTGAAAAATTTTATAGACTCTGTGTGATATCTTTTTGAAGACGTACAATAATATGTGATTTTCTTTACGCGGAACGCACGCACCTTGTAGATTGAAATCACTAAGCGCTAATGTAACGAATGATCATACTAGAAACTATTCTGCAATTAGAAAACTTTTGAAAAACCTAATTATACTCCTTCCTTGAGCATAAAATATATAGAAGACGCAACTCTCTATTAATTGACTGAAAGAAAGCATATCTTTGTTTATGGTTTCCATAAGATATATTTGAATTTGCAAGACCATTGTAAATCAATGGGGTAGGGCTAGCCAACAATGCCTGAGAATTCGGAAACTATCATCTCATATCCGTTTGCCCTCGTTAGCCATTAAACGGCTGCCTATTAAGGCTCCGGAGCACAACGGGACAGGAATTTTCACACTGCACTCGGAACTTTGGACGATAGTCCCATGTTAATATTCAATCGACACAACCACCTTCCGGACGGCTTTAGTAACAAAGCTGTAGCCGCCTGGTCGCTGCCTGCCTACTAGCATCAACAGTTTAACCGTCGAAAGCGTAGACGTTCACCGCGTCCCCCACAGAGTGCGCGCAGCAACGACGATTTTGGATTTATAGGGAGTCAGACTTGCGCAGCAGCTATCACACTCCCTCTCCCCTCGTCCACCATGATGCGATAGTAAAACAATGTGATGGGGACATAAAGTGGGCGCAGACAGAGGGAGTGCGAAAGCTAAACGGCACGTCAATGCGTGCCACACACGAGCCGGTCCCCACTAAATGCACCAGGCTTCTGAGAGGACGGCTCGGAGTTCGGAGATTGGCGTAGATGTCACGTTGAGAAGGAGCAATTGAAGCTTGGCTTTGCGCCCTCCAGCCACTTCAAGATATTTCCATAAAGGCCGAATTGTCCCATTGGTTGTCAGTAATTTCTACCATGACCATTAGCGTGTCGTGATAGACTTGAGCATGCCAAATTTATGTAGTGAGGAATGCGCTGAGTTGCATGAAAACGGATTTCCCTGCGTCTACCTAACTCTGTCTTTCCCCTCCCACGTACCATTTGTCTGACCGAGACTCTCAATCATCGGACGATGAGTTCGAATGAATTATTGATATTTCGTACACACAAACTGGTATAAAATGCGTTTAACTAAGTGCATACAAAAATTCATAGATCCTGGATAATTCCTATTGACCCAACTGTGAAAAACTCGGCGCTTCGGAGAGATTCGCACCCACACAATAAGGGGAAGGCTTTAGTACAGCCAACACTATAAACACTTGAGCTACGAGGCCCTGCTAGACGACGCGAGTTTAATCACATTTGGGTCGAGTTACCCGCCCAAAAATTGGGTCAATATGAATTATTCAAAATCTGCCAAAATATCTATGAATTACATGAGTCTGGTAGTCATCTGGTGGATTCTATGTGCATTACTTAGGAAATCCTGCTTGGGCATTCAACGTACTGTATCAGATTTGGTGAATTTCAGACGTTGCAGTAGACTGGGCGAGTAGCTTGACCCAAATGTGATTAAATTCGCGTCGTCCGGCGGGGCCTCATAGCTTAAGTGGTTAGCGCGTTGGCTGTACTAAAGCCTTCTCCTTACTGCGTGGGTTCGAATCTCACCGAGGCGCCGAGTTTTCCCCAATTGGGTCAATATGAAGTATGCAAAAATGTGTAGACTTAAAACTGTTCTCTGGCGGACTCCGGATTGACAGTGCATCTGGAGTCGTTAAGACACGGGAATGGTACCCCTTTCCGGAAATACAGAGTGACCTACTACACAATCACAAGAAAGGCAAATAGTCCCGTTTGTTAATCCCAATCCTAACTGAGACTCTACCCTTAGCCCTAACCTTAGCTCTTATGCTGCCCCTTAACCCTTGACCCTGCTTTGATCCTGATTCCTGCTTAATCATAACCCTAAACATAACACCTCTCCTAACTGCCCTGTAAATTGGCACAAGGGCCCCGAGTGGAGGGGTTTCTATTCCCGCATCTGGCTCTAGAGTTTAAGCAAGTTCCTGTGCGAAGACTGCAAAGGTTGCCGCTGCTGACGTTGCCCAGCATCGGAGAACTTGGAGCCTGTCAGTACGATATACAGAAGATTGCATGCGTTTGTCGCAAATGGTAATGTTCTCACGAAATAACGAGTTATATCTCATGAGCCCCTAGCCTTAAAAGCAGCAATTAAAACTGAGCAGTGAATAATATAGAGATTTTAAACGTTAAGAAACTGACAGAAGAACAAGACGGCGGAGAACGCTAGCAAGGCGGGTTGCACAGGTACGTCGTTCCTCGTCACATTCCAACAAGCAATGCGGCCAAAGAAAATGGGACTAAAGCGTCAAAGGTAAATTAGTCTGGTACCTCACCACAGACTAATAAACTTCTTCTTCCAGTGATCGCTTCATCATCTTCTTATTCTTCCTCTCCATTAAATCCTTTTTATTCAGTTTTTAAGCAAACTTCCACAGAGGTGAACGCTTACCATTAGCGAGAAAATGGGATTTTATTTTCCTAGTGCCAAGGTCTTCCTTGGCAGCCGTTCCAGATGAAAAAAGGGGCAATTTTATTAGCGAGTCTAACAGTGCACCTGTTGTTGGGAGGTTTTAATGTACATCTCAAGTCGTTATCTCCCTACATATTAATGTAAGTAGGCCGGGGCACATAAGACCTTAGCTAATATATTGTAACCTCATCTTTTTACTGCCTTTCTGCGAAGATTGCAAAACTCGTATATATGTGCGTATGAGCGGAGGATACATGTGTGAAGGCGGGTATAAGTCCGTCTATGTACCTTCAACCCCCCAAAACAGGCTACGCGGTGGACGGGCTGTACTAACATAGGGGCCAGATCAGGGCACGGTACACATGAGTGTGTGATAGCACTCCTGGGTGCAGGCCCGCGTCACGCCGATCACCCGGGTCTTCTCCGTCCCCCAGTCTTCTTAATCGTGTCTTGACACTGCTAACAGGTGTAAGAGGAGGGGAGTGTGCGGAAGGTGCCTCGAAAGTCCACTAGTGCGATAACCAAATCACACACAAGTCATCGCTGCCGCACCCGCCATCGTCGGACTCGACGGTTAAACTGTGCAAACCTGGTTTGTTATGTTTTGGGCCAGGTCTTGTTTGTGAAGCGCCCAATCTCAGCGTCGGACTACTGACCGGCCCAAGGAGTGAACTGGTGCATGGGAGAGGGGCAGAGTGAGGTCGAATCTAATGGAATGCCATCACTCATAAAAATGCAAAGGGAACTTGGGTTGTGAATAGTGTTCAGCATGAGTTCACTATGGCTGCCCTCCACCGGATGGTCATTATCGACAAATAGGCCCGTCTACGGAGGTTCTACTTTCGTCACTGTGTACAACCACTCTGTGCTAAGACCTGGCCTGTTGCGCGGAAGGCCAGGTTCGGCACTCGTAGATGGGCTGTTTAGCACTGCCATCCACTTTCGTCCATTGCCCGCACCAGATGACTGACCGACCCGAGAAGTGAACTTCTGCATGAGGGTTCCGTCCCAGAGGCACTTCAGCGCCTTTTCCCTGCTATAAACAATCTGACACGCTCTTGAATTATCACCCTGTGCTAAAAACCGGGACTTGGCTCGGTACACGTGGATGGGCTGTTTAGCACCGTCAGCCACTTGCGTTCATTCTCCGCACCAGATGACTGACCGGCCGGAAGAGTGAATTGGGAGAGAGAAAGAGTGATGTCGAAGCTGGGGGCTCCGTCCCAGCGGCACTTCAGCGCATTTTTCCTGCTATAAACAATCTGACACGTTCTTAAACTATCACCCTGGGCTTAAAGCCTTGACTTGTAAGGCGGACAACTGGCAGAATACCTCAGGCCTCAGCTCACGATGGAGAACCAGATCGCAATAACTCCTGGTAAATGTGGCCTCCATAAAGCTCTCACTCAGTCGAGATCCTGGACACCCTTTCTCGATGGTTCGGGAAACCCCGGTCGATCGTGTGTGGGCCAGACGTGTGTTGCAGGCCTAGAAGGGCTACTTAGCTCTGTCAGTCACTGCGTCCGATCGCGCCTCCGGTCTACGTGACTATGTCTCGACACCGGGCCCAGGGGGGTGAGGCAGGGGAGAGTTCGGTAGATGCAGCGCACATTTACTATCAATACAAACTAATTCAAGCACAGGGTATCGTCCCTGTGCCCGCCATTCTGTGGGGCACCCGATGGACACCATCGTTCGCGGCTCTCAAACTGCTCTACGGCGCATGTGTGGAAGAGTTAGTCATTGTCCTGTGAGACGACGACCGCCTTTCAAATTATTTTGGAGGTAGTTTTACGTAAGCGGTGCAGACAGCCATCAGTACTGCGAGGTTGAGGGTGCGCAAATCGGTGTGCGTGAAAGGAAGTCGAGGAAAAGCATAAAAAACCTCCTATATCGACTTTCGTCTAACTTCGGCAAACAATGTCAAACGGATTCCTGAAGTGCGCAATAATTTACCGTACCATTCACAACCTAAAAGTATACCAAAAACCGCAGATGCAGCCCCGCGATTGTGTATACAGACTCAGAATAATGGCAATACTCATATATAAGGCTCCAGTGAGCTAGTATTTTGAGCAAGACGAAACGCATTTTGTTTGTGAACGCCAGATGATTTTTACGTTGAAGTGGGCAGTAACTGATCCAAATTGTTCACTAATCATCGGGCTGAAACTCCGAAACCCCCGCCCAATGACCCAGCACTGTTTCAGGAGTTCCCGCTGAAAGCATAAGGTGCCAAGGATATTTCTTTTCCTCCCCACGAGTATGTTTGGTCAGAACTCTTTATGACTGATTTTTTTCAGGCGAGCTTCCCTACTCGCAAGTAAAAAATATGAAGCAATTGTTTTCCGGTGCCCGAATCAATGTAGCTTTTGTCAGTCATTCATGCTTCTGTCTGCAGTTTTAAAGCCAGCTTTCACGAAATGATACCAACTTATGAAATTCGTTTTCGCCTCATTCGTAGGAGGGTCGAAGTCACAAAGAGGATTGACTGGTCCCGTTAGAACTCAAAAACCACTTATTTGCATCAAAAGTTATTTTCCCGCGAAACTTGTTCCAAACGGGAGAAACCGTTGGGCCACAAGAGGAGAAAGCAGAAAAATGCCAAACAAGACAGGTGGTTGGAGAGTTCCAACGGACAGACAAGTGGGGAAACTGTCTAAAGTCACTTCAAACTTACGAGCTTACAAAAAGGCCAGCCTATCACAATGAACGAAAATCATTGCGAAGGATGGTTAAACACTCATTCCCGTAGACGGAACTTCAGTCAGAACTAAGACAACGGGCTATTTGTTTTTGCAAATAATCAATGTGTGCAAAGGCTTTCATTACTTTTTCTCCGGGAGCGTTTGATTCTCCGAATTGACATTGTCGATTGTCTCTATAAAGTAGGTGTCTAAGCTCATGACCATTGCGGGCATTTAAGCCATTTTGTAAATTGGGAAAGATTGCTTAGTGCAAAGTGAAATCTTCATTGGTGGGTAAAATAGTTCCAGTTATTTTATGCACAACGGACTGCTGACTCACAACTGGGTATACTTTCAGTCACCTACGACAATCAATCTAACGATAAAAATAGCAGCATGAATAATTTGTCATTGTCTATTTATTCTAGAGGTCTGTATGAATTCTGTCCTATTTACTCAAGGAAACGCACAAAAGTAATCACTTATGGAGCTTTTATGGTCATCAGTCTTATTGACTTCATGGTCCTGAACAAGAATTTTCGAGTTTTGATAACCTGTTCATTCCCGTCCTGCTTGGGATCTAACCTGCCTTTCATACTTGCTGCGAGCTTTCAGAGACCACATGGTTTGGAGTCCTCCTACCCTGAACTGTGGAGCAAGCCCATCGGCAATATGGGGAAAGTGGCAGTAGAGACCTTCTAGGATAGGAAGCGCGGTGTTATTAAATGTGACAAACGGAAAAAAGTCCCATTTGCTACACAAGCTTGATTTAATGCATATAAGTTACTTTGTAAAAAATAATTCCGCCTACCCCTGAACTATGGCGCAAAATCAGTTAAATTTAGTAAAGATGACAGTAATAAAGACTTTTAGAGAGGAAACATGGCGTATTTGCACCACATGCTTTATTAATGCTTAAAAAGGACACTTATATCGTTTCCTACCAGCACGTGCTCTGTGCTTTTCATAAAGCAAAATCATGTTTGTTACTACCATTAGGAAAAATTCTCCGTGTACTCATGAGAAGATGAAGTGGCGACTGTTACCTTGTAGCAGCGTAGATAAAGTTGTAGGTAGAGGCGAACAGGCGAGTTCCAGGTAACAGTTGAGAAGACGAAGACGTGAGCACTGGAACAGAAAATTTATCGGCCTGGCGTTTCGGATTCCCACTCGAATCCATCATCAGAGACAATCGCAGATAAGGATAATGGTGGCATAAGGAGTGCAGTACTCATGGCACGTGGCTGCCTTGGGACCATATGAGTACTGTAATTAACAGCCAAGGCGGGCACGTGCTATAAATACTGCACTTCTTGTGTCACCATCACCTTTATCTGTGACTGTCTCTGATGATGGATTCGAGTGAGAAAACGAAATGCCAGGTCAATAAATTTCTTGTTCCAGTGATCGCATCTTCGTCTTCTGAACTGCTACCTGGAACTCACCTGTTCGCTCCTGTCAGCAATATTTTTGGGCGCGAAGCGCTCCGATGGGCTCGACGGTGGGTAACCTTTGCCTTTCGAGAGTCATCTACATATCCGCAGATTCGATTTCTGCACAAGTGTCTCGAAAGCGATGTGCGCCGAAGTGTGTTTCATACAAACCTCCGGTTAACACAGAGCTGGCGAGACGAGCAGTACTTCTTCACGGCCGACGAATGATCCGAGTGCTCCTTCAAGACTGTCACTCACGGATTTGCAAATACCGTCAAAGTATTGACCAAGAGAAAGCAAAGTCCTGCGAGTTCATGGCCGAGGCCGGCACAAAACTGCTTCAGCAGGGGCTGGTTCAACGAACCCGCGAGCATAAAGCAACGCGCGCAGCAGCCTTAAAAAGCAAATTTCGTAAGATGCCTGTTCCAATGTCATCCAAGAACGACAAACTGGTGCACAACTTGTCGTCAAAGGAACTGACGTAGGAAAAAATGCAGGCTTTACGGCATGAGGCCTTATTCAACACAACCGATGCCAAACCTGCCAACATGATCGCAGTAGTGGAATCAATCCTCAGCCAGACGGGAGCGACAGACGAAACGAAGAACCTCATTCGGCACCAAGTGTCTTCCCTCCTAATGGCTCATAGGCCGCGCGACGTGCTTTCCAAGGTCGAGCGCGATGCACTTAAGGAACTCAGGGCCGACAACGACCTCGTTATCGTGACTGCGGACAAGGGGCGTTCAACGGTCGTATTGGACAGGACAAAGTACAATCAAAAGCCAAAAGCTTGTTGGATGATCGTAAGTCATATGTCCTATGCGAATCCAACCCCATAAAAACGCTGACACGCGAGATAAACGCGACGCTGTTGGCAATGGAGAACTCAGGTGCAATATCGCCAATCGGCCGACGCATGGCGAGAGCACAAGAAACGGCCCTAGCCCGATTCTACGGTCTCGCAAAGGTACATAAAGAGGGCGCTCCTCTCCGGCATGTCGTATCACTAAAGGACACTCCAACCTACGAACTGGCAAAGTGGCTGTTCCAACGTCTCAAGTTTCTGACCTCTGATTCGACCACGACAGTCAGCTCGTCAACGCAATTCTTAGAGAAACTAAAAGGAGTTAGTCTCCTGCCAAGCGATTTCATGGTTTCTTTTGATGTCACGTCCCTTTTCACTTCTATCCCGCAGGACCCAGTCGAGACCATCGAACTACCCCTACGAGAGAAATAGGACGAAACGGAGAACCGCCTCGGACGCGCCCAAATCATCCAGCTCCTAAAATTCTGTCTCAAGACGTATTTTACGTTCGACGGAACAATCTACGAGCAAGTGAAGGGAACGCCAATGGGTTCGCCGATTTCGGGACTCATAGCAGAGGCGGTCCTTCAACGGCTGGGGTCGCTGGTTTTCCGACACTACCGACTGAAATTCTGGGCTCAGTATGTGGATGACGCCTTCGTCCTCATCGAACGGGATCAGGTGCTAACATTCAACGAAGATCTCAATGCCGTCTTCCCGGACATTCAATTTACAATGGAGGAGGAAGAAAACAATCAGATGTCCTTCCTAGATGTCTTCGTCTGCTGCAAAGATTGTGGTGGCCTAAAAACCAAAGTGTTCAGGAAAGCGACATATACGACGCAAATACTAAACTTCAACAGCATCCACCCAATCAGTCACAAACGCTCTATACCGGCGCGTTGAAACGCACTGCAGTGAAATGGAAGACAAATTTGCTGAATTACAATATCTTCGACGGGTACTGAGAGTCAATGGTTACTCGCGCAACTTTTTCAACCAGTGCATACGAAAAGAATACCAGAGACCAACTCCAACCGGCCCCAAATTTTGGCGGGCTCTTCCGTACGTGAAGAACGTCTCGGAAGCCGTCAGTCGTCTTCTCATTCCACTTGGAGTTGGGGCTGCACACAGGCCGGAAGCAATCATTAGGCGCCAAGTCATGAGGCTGAAAGACCCACTGCCACGGTAGGAAACATCCGAAGTCGTTTACCGGATCTGGTGCAGTTGCGGACAAAGCAACTACGTCGGAGGAACTGGGAGATTACTCCGTACGTGAATTGCCGAGCACACAGCAGCAAAGAGGCGGGGAGACACTAGCTCCCCGGCGGCGGCTCATTCCTCGGGACCCGGCCATATCTTCAAGTTACAAGAGGCCGAAATCCTCGCAAGGGATGACAACCGCGTGAGCCGCGAGCTGCTCGAATCATGGTTCTCAGGCCCACAATCCATCAACAAACGCAATAACCTCCCGGTACCATATTCCATGCTGAGATTTTCCCTGGTCAGAAGGATCGGTCACGTGGGTATTGTGCGGGAGAGCAATTATCCCAGTGACAGTGAGCAAATTTGTCGAACAGTCGTCACACCAGCATCCAACACAGATGACGAAATCGTGACAATTAATGGTTCGGACTCGGACTGACAAGCTACCCTCGCATCAATTACGATCGCAGCGGTGATTGCGATATCTGTTAATTACAGCGCGCATACGGTCCCACTGCAGCCACGTGCTATAAATACTGCGCGTCTTGTGCCACCATCACCTTTACCTGACAATGTCTCTGATGATGGAATCGAGTGAGAATCCGAAACGTCAGGCCAATAACTTTCTTGTTCCAGTGATCGCATCTTCGTCTTCTGAAAGGCTTGTCCCTCTGTCTTCCCTGCCTTCTGATTTGGGAACCCTACCTCCCCTACCAACCCTACCACCCTACCTCGACTGGGTCGCACAGCAAAGTGCCAGTACTTGACTCATTAATGAGACCAACGAATGTCGGAACAGACTTGCTAAGATACGCCATAAGCTCACTAATCCACTTGTCCTGAATGTAATTAGGACCTCGGTTTATTCGAAGTAAATGACGAATGATAATGACGTCATTCTGAACTCACCTATTTAGTGTCCAGTAATCAGTAATCTAGCAGGAACAATGACGGATTCCGGAAGAAACGGTTCTGCTTATTTGCCTTAATGAGCACGCCCTGCTTAAACCACAGGAATTCTGATGCAGTTTTTGTGAATTATAAAAACGTTATAAAACCTGTCTACCCTGAAATCACAGGCCCGATTCCTTTCCGATTTTAATAAACAGAATTCCCTTAAGGGGTTTCAGTGTTTACCTTTGCAGGTTTAGATCAAATGTAAACTAATAGGCAGTATAAAGCACCCTGAAACACCCGCTTCTTCGACTGTAAGTATAGGCAGTCTAAGGGATGCCTTTTCCAAACAAAGAGACCCACATATACGAAGAGATTCTCTCCAGAGGTCTTCTTCTTAAAAGAAAACTTTTAAGAATTCCATAAAAATATAGCGAGGTGAGAACAGTCAAGACTGTGAACAACTAGAAAGTCTTCTATATCCACCATATGGAATTTATTAACTTATTTCGTAGTTATGATGTTTGCAGGAACGAGTCCTAGGTTGGATAGGATGACCTGGGCCAGACATCGAGAGTTAAAAGTAAGTCATTTTGTCGGCTATTATGAGGTCGAATCCAAGAAACTACTCATTAAAACTGCGTGCACTTTGTGACGATACCCAGATATTCAAAGATAATCAAAGAGACGATATAATTTCAAATGTGTAATCTTGTAAATTAACATTATTTGTTGGACTTAGGTCAGATTAGGTAGTAAATTTATAGACGTCTGTTATTTTATGGAAGGGAGGGTAATATACTTACGACGAGGAGAATTTATGTAAAAGGTGGCAGCAGATGATCAGGCGATGCTGTGGCCATTTTTCTTTTGACTGCAGTCTTAGGAGGATCTGGTTTTCTCATATTTTGTTAGTAAGTGTGACTTCGATATTCCCTAATGCCAGCAACCAGAGTCACGTCTATCCCGTAAAATGAAAATATCGAATGCTCAGTGGTTTAACTATGAAAACAAAGGACAGGATTAATATCCTCAGAAGTCACCAATAAATTAAGAAAAAATAATCTGAATCTGAAAAGTTGTATACATACATTTCGTGCTTATGGTAAGCAAAATGCTCGCAGTTCTGGTCACTCTAAAGCGCCCTGATTCTTGATCGAAACCATTTTAGATAAGGTAAATTAGTCAACGACGGTTAAATGGGCGTTTTTTGCCAAAAGCGCCTCCCTAAACAGAGTATTTTATCTTGAAAACTGTTACCCAAATAGGCATCCTGAAGTTGTAATCATAGTTTCCCACTCAATACACAAGGACTGAAAAGAACCCAAAGAGCAGAATTGGCCCAATTTAGGCGATTAGCTGGATTTGCTTAAAGAAGAATTGTAAAATTCTGTTAAGCACTTAACACAGGAAGGGTAGTATACATCTGGTACACCGCTATTCTTAAAACAGAGAAACGTTTTTCTTTGTCTGAACTATGGAAATACGAAATCCACAGAGCTCAAGCCCAACAAATGGGTGTATAATCCACACCTCTCTTGCGTAGATTAAGAGGTAAGTGTATTTTCCAATCTAAAAGTATTTGCCTTCCTGCTAAGTTCTTCATCAAACTAGCAGCTTACTCTTTGTTCTTAACTGGTAGAATATTTGCATCGTGATGTGGAATTAGTTATAAAACCTAAAACAAACCTTATACTCGGGCATGAGCGACTAAAATACTTACTGTCTTCTCCAAAGTTAACAGTACAGATAAGGAGAAAATTTTGTCGATCCCTAAGGTAAAAATCGGCGGATCATGCCAGAATGATGAACTCGAGGCGGTGCAGGCCGTAAACCATTACAGCGAAATTTACTCAGGGGCTGTTACTACTTTCTTTGTCCGACTATCAAGAGGGAAGATCTAGGAATGCGGGTGGGATTTGTCAACGTATTACGTCAAAAAGGCTTTCGTAATTATTAAGCAGAAGGAAGAGGGAGGTACCTGAAGTCTTTTCCAGATTGCGATGAGACGGGAAGGATTTTCTGGATGATTCGCGTCCACCTGGCAAGTGCAACGATGAGCCAACATTCCCTGGTCATATGCCAGGACCGTAGTAAATGCGGAATTCTGGGGACAAGGAGTAAACGATTGCTGAATTTACTACACCAGAGTACAAAAATGAAATGACACTTCTGGTACAAAACTGGTTTTCTATTTTACTGTTGCTATCAAAAAATAGTTAACATGAGACGGTTTAAGAAAAGAACCAGCAACATCGAGTGAACATATTTTAACTCAAAACAAATTCAATGCTCGTTTGCGACTGCACGTTAAGTGCTTTTTATGCAGCCATACTTTACGAAACTGCAAACTCGTGGAGTGGCGCTGAGTAATGCTGGAGAATCAGGGACCATAATTTCTTTGTTTGCCGTGCTGCTCTGTTCCTCCACCTCTAAACTGGTCCATACCAATTATTTTCGAATACCTCGCTGGGAGTGGGTCGCGAGAAGAGACATTAGAAAAATTGTCAATTCGCAAAAGGAGTAAAATTTCCTTTGGTCTAACCGACTGCAGACCATTGTGAATTACGCTTTGTTGTTTTGACTTGGTAGTTGCTAGACGCAGATAAAGCAGCGCTGTGGTTTTACAACCAACCATGTGAGAATACTGCAGCCCGGAATAAACACTTCGGAAATTATTGAAGTGCAGGCAAGTGGTGCCTGGAACAGTTTAACCCAATGAAAAAACCCGCAAAACGAAAATAATCAAAAGCAGTCAGGGACAACTGTCAGAAAAATGACGCGCTGTTATCTTCATTTTTGCTAATAATAAACCTGACACTAGGAACTTTCAGGTATTCTGTCTTAAGGAAAGTGATAAAGCACTAATAAGCAGGATTATCACCTATAAGTGGATCTGGGGGATTTGCCGATTTGACAAACTGGAAAAACATAATAGGGAGAGATGAAAAATATTGGGATTCAACCGCGGAGCCTGTGCTACAGCCGTGGAAACGTGACTTTGATCGGCCATTCAGAGGGCTCTGGAGCTTCCCTGGTCGCAAACTTCAGGTTTCTAAGAGAATGTGCTGTGCTTGTTTCATCCAATAAGCCCCACGAAGTTAAGAACAATATCTGACCTGCTTCTCACCTTAAACCGACAAATGCATATCTCCTGCTCGGTTCTAGACGGTTGGTTTAAGGATTTCCACTCGGAGCAGCTGACTAACGTTCACATCAACTCAATTTTCTCTGGCGAATTACTTGCGTTTGGGGCCGCTAGTCTCATAATTTATCTGGACGATGTCGGTTCTGCTGCGGATTTTACCTCAACACGTGTACGCATAATCAGCAAAGGTTCTGGAGAGTAGGACAAATTCCTTTCTCCAGCAGCGAAGACCGAATATCGAAGACTTAAGAGCCACCCCTATGTCTCGAGAGACTGAGTCAAGTTAAGTATTACAGCTTATCACCTCTTTGACGGCTCAGGCCGACAGCGGTGGAGTATTTCGTCGGCAACTTTGCAACTAAAGACCGGCGACGGAGGAAGTGGCCAAACCACCTCAGTAGTCTTTCTCGGATGATCTGAGTCCTTTTCGTGACATTTTAGTAGCAAGTGATTACAATCTCATCCTGGACGAAATTGATCCAATTTGCCCACGGTTCGTTTTTGAACAATGGTAATCAAACAGCTCCCGATTTTGCTTCTTCTTCAGGCACGCGGCCTGACGTTCACAAATATACAGGCGAACTAATGCTGCAGATGCCCTGTATAAGTAGTAGTTGTGGAGATGAATGTATCTTAGCTGTTCCAGAGAGAGGATTGATATTTGCAACGATACTTCCACCTCGCTGTCTGTTTGGCAGAAAACCCACCTGAAGCACTTGGATTTGTTAATATTTTTAGACTAGCGGCTTGTAATCCTGCATCTCGCCGGATTTCTAACTGTTCGAAGATACATTGGTTTTCGCGGTATTGATGGATAATCTGAGTGAGTTGACGAACGCACTCATCTACATGCTACAATCTGTACGTCAGCAAAACTTGTCGCCAGCAAGGTTTCCTCATCGGCGCAGCTACGATCGGTCAACCTGCATCTTAACTTAAATTTCCCGTCGTCAAATCCACAAACAGGTTTTTCAAGAATTCGATCAGCAGCGTAGATGATTAGGGTGGACGCATGAATAGGACCGTTTTAGACGTCATTCCGAAAAGTACATTGCTAGAGAGATCGAGATGAATCGGTAGCCACTTCGTTTTGGAGCGACAGTATTCCCTGCTCAGAGCAATGGCTTTTTTCCAGCACACACTCTTGCTTCATTATCCATCACATGTAGGCATAGAAAACAAAATTATGTATCGTGGCCGGTGGTCGGCCCTAGGCCTGTCGGAATTCCCGACAGCACCACGGCGCAAATATTAGGTCATTGAACCTTCGTGTATCTGGATCTCGTTCAGCAGTCATCCATGCATTGAAACGGATCGAAAATGACGCCCACAAGTGTATTTAAAACAGCATGACCCGTGCCTGGGCTGGAAAGGGGTAAGATTCTGTTGTAGAGGACAGAGGTGGGTAGCGGACGAGAAGATGCTCGAGGCGCCAAGGCCAGTTCTCGACTTTAGCGGAATTGCCGAAGCTCAAAACGAATTAGGGCAGCACAGACAGCGACAGTTACTCAGGAGTGAACGTGAAGAAGGAGACACAATCGCTAGAATAAGATTTTTATTCACCTGATGTTTTGGAATCCTCCTCGAACCCATCATCAGAGACAATAGCAGGTACCCGTATCTGCTTCTTTCTCCAATGATGGGTTCGAGCAGGAATCCGAAACCTCCGGCGAATAAAGCTCGTCTCCCAGCGATTGTGTCTCCCTCTTCATGACTGCTTCCTGGGACTTGTCTCTTCGCTTCTACTATCAATGTATTTGGCGCGATGCGCTCCCATTGGCCCGACGATTGAAAACCTTCATCCATCGAGAGGCCTCCACGTATGCGCAGATGCGGTTTCTGCACAGGTGTTTATACAATAATGTGTCACGGAAATGCGTTTTATATAAGCTCCCAATGAACACGGATTTGACGAGACAAGCAGTATTTCTGTATGGCAGAAGAATGATCCGAGTGCGCCTCCAAGATTGCCACGCGAGACGTCGCAAGTACCGTCAGAGTCCCATCTCTACTATTGTCTCTGATGATGGGCTCGAGCACGAATCCGAAACGTCAGGCGAATAAAGCTCTTGCCCCAGCGATCGTGCTTCCTTCTTCACGACTGCTTCGTGGGACTCGTCTCTTCGCCTCTATTTGGAGTGACAATTTCCGAATTATTTGCTGTCATTAGCCAACAATAATTTAAGCCCCAAGGCGCAACGGGATGAGCGAGTTCCGTAACGCGATCGGTGAACACCCTCTAACATTGTTTACATTAGTGTTCACTTCTATCGGATTGCCGTTTAAATTATGAAGACATTCAGCATTTTTCTCTTATCTCCAGACACACGTGTCTCAACATCAACAGAGGGAGTGGAGTAATCCTGGTCTTATTGGTTTTTTATGATTTCTCTGTCATATGCTAGTTTGGACTACTTTTTAACTGATATTTTAATTGATTTTCAGTTGTTCGAAGTACGTACGGTCCGAGTTGCAGTTTTTCGCCACCATGCATTTTGCCGTAAGTTTTAACCGATCCTTCACCACATATGCAGAAATATTTCCGAAATTCTTATGAGATAGCTATTATAAGACATGATTTGGAAATGAGGACAGTAGGTGCCACAACAACTTACATGAATGAATTCGCTTCGAGGACGCTTCGCCAGTGTCACCACGGGACTAGAGGCGGTTCGCTCGAGAAGGGGGCTTGCGTTCGGACCTGATTTTAGAGGGTGCGGTGGTGGGGGCACCGTTGACCCATCCGTGTTCCCCCATATGCTGGCCTGGCTAGACGAGCGACTGTTCTTTGGAAGTTCAGTTCTGTGCAAAGGGGTAGTGATAATAGGCAATATTACTACAAAACGCTACGCTTAACGCTGACTTGTGCAGTAATTCTGTCGACTTCGTTAGATTCCTGAAGGTTAAGGTGACTTCTTGCGCTCGCCGCATCCCTGTTCTCTGTTGTTTTGAGTGTAGTTATTTTCAATCATTCCAAACCTTCAGGTGGTTTAGGATAACACCAATGAACTCACCAACTGGTTAAAAAGGCCGATATATTTCCTATGGTGGTGGATGGCGCGCTTTAAAAGAGGAATTCTTTCGAATAATCGACAGAAGGACAGCTAATCTTGGTGGGCTTCACCTCGTAAGTCCGTTTTCTTATAAGGATGGAAGTGATGGACAAATTTTGTTCACTGCTTACCCTCGCTGTTTCGATTCAGCTGATGCAGTTCTAGGTTTAATTCCATTAAGTTAATGAATACTGTGTGCTTGCATGTCATCGGAGGTTGATAAAATTTGGTCCAGAGTTATGTTTTGACGCTCATGCACTACCAGAAGCCGTCATGTAAGTGTTAAATGTCATGGTTAATGCGCAGTCTCGCCAGCAGTTACTTTGATCTACGTTTTGCACAATTTGAAATAGGGGGAGATAATTCAAAGATTTCATATCTAAAAACAAGAGCTGAGGCAGGGGCACCCGGTAGCATTGGGGAATTCAGGATTTACATTAGACTTCTGGAGGATTTCCTGAACACGAGAATACCCTTCGAAAATAATAATTCTGCCCCTCAGGCCGGCCTTTGCGACGGGAAAATGCCAACATTAGATGTCAGCTTCCCATTCCATTCCAAAGAGCCGTCCTTGTCTGCGGCTAACCGGACGGAATGTCTCAAGAGAGACATCGACTGATTGCGCATCTGACATTTTCATTTGTGTATGCAGTCAATGAAGCAACCAGAAGTCATTGAACAAAACCGACACTTGGCCACAGGCAATAAACATCCGTAGAGAATTTAATCCTAAGACTACCGGACATTCCGATCTTATCTCCCATCCTCCCACTGTCGAAAAGAGTTTTTTTCATGGCGCATGTTTTACTCCACTAACTAGCTTATAGCCGGCGAATCTTGTGCAGCCTTCTCATTTGGAGGCTCTAAGGTACATTTAATTCTCAATACGTTGGGCGCACGCACGGAAAACCTTTAATTCCTTCGACTGCGCACTTGCTAGGCAGAAAAAATAGGCGACCAAGAAGTACTTTGACGCAGAATTAACAGCACCCTGAAGTCATTAGCAGTCGAAAGTTTGTAATAAAAGTCTAACATTACATTCCGAGGCAACGAAATATGGTGAGTAGAGTTAAAATAATGCAATTAACTGGAATAGGTAATCAACCTGACACTATCCTGGTGGTTAACTGGTGCTGATTAGGTACCCCCACCCAGTGCTGACACCATGCTAAACCACAAGACCCAGTCAACTGACTGGTGATCATGCTGCCATCACACATCCCATATGACCGCCAAATATTCTTTCTCCATTTTTAACAATTGGCAGTAACCATTGACAGTTGACTGCGAGTTAGTAAAATTTAATGATGCTGAATTCAACGACAACGGTAGGACGAAGGACCCCAATAAGCTGTCCACAGACTGTGGATCGTGTGCTGTGTGTGTTTGCGAAATCTAATTAAGTGCTGATGACTGGCAGCGGAGAAACAAAAAACAGAGACCAACTGAGCACGAATTTAGAGATAACAGAGATTTCTGCCGGGGATTTTTCGACGTGCTCCGGCGTGCTCCCCCCGTAACCCCCCCATTACCACCATTGCCCTATGACACGATCGGCAGTCTATTGGCAGCTAATTGGGATCCCTCATCGTACCGTTGCCACTTCAACTCTGTTCGAAAATTTGGTACCATCTAGATTCCTCCCGGAAAAAAAGGAATACGTAAAAGATCTGCGTTGCTTTCGGCTTGCCATACGTTCTGGACACCACACCTTCGCTACGTGTATAAGACGACAGGATTTGCTCTCACGAATCACCTTTTTTCTAAGCAGGTTCTCAGGCAACATTTGGCTTCATACAATAACACATGTTTCGAAAGTAATTATTCGCATTAAAAACAAATACTGACCTGAGTCTTTTATTTCACAAACTGTTTATGAAGACATCTAAAGACTATGCAGCGGTGCGGTTAAGAAGGCAAATTTTGGGTGACATATTATGCACTGTTCATAATTCCCTAATTAAGACGTATTTCATTCCAGTTAATCCGCATTAAAATTACATTCAACGCTTGTTAAGGTCCCCTTTTATAACGGTTGCTGGTTTGGCAATAACAGATATCACTAGATATATCGCCAGAAGATGGGTCAGCTACAACACCTATGTTAGTTTGTCACTACCAGTACATCCTCAAATGAATCGAAATTTCTGAGAAACCCGGATAAGGCAGACCGTAAGACCTACGGCACGTCGAACCAAACTATTGATACGATTTCAAGGGGAAAATACTACTAGGGCCAGATTGATTGGCGGTGGACAGTAATTTAAGTCAATTCCAAAACGATATCATTTCAGTTATTAAATGTCTATTTATTCAAATGTATACATTGAAAAACAGGCAACCCAAGAAATATATGTAGAAAAACGAAGTTCTTTGGGAAACAGCAAAATTTTATTGTGAATTTTCGAGACTGTTTCCCCAGCTCGTCTTCAGACAACGAGTGAGCAAAAACAAGTAACTTCTAGACAGTCAGGCAAAAGGATTCTATGATTAGTTAAGGTCATCATCTCCGTATTGGTTGAGTCAGTTTGAATCTGTCCTTAACGATTTTGTATGTGCCAACTAAATAGATATGCCGGTTGATGCATGCCTCATCTGAGTGTATTGCCTCCAGGAATTCGCGGCCTTTCCTTGTTGGGCAGGCGCCAACAATGCGAGTGTTTTCCCATGCTAATTTATGCCCAGTGTCCAGTGTGTGCATGGCCACCTGGGATAGATGGCCGCGTCTCTTCACCGCTAACTGATGCTCATGTATACGGGTTGAGACAGATTTCCCAGTTTGGCCACAATAAATGTCATCACAACTATAACATGGGATTTTGTAGACAACGCCTTTTCTTTCGAGGTAGCCAACCCTGTCCTTAGGGTGTACAAGCTGTGTGCGTAAGGTGGTTGCCGGCTGGTGTGCTACGTGTACCTGGTACTTTTTCAATTGTCTTTCGACTAGTTCAAATACATTTTTGACGTATGGGAGACTTCGCCATGTGGTTGGTTTTGGTGCCTGAGCGGCCGTAACAGTGGAAATACCTTTTTCCCTGAGTTGCCGGTGCCTCATGCATTGACGTATAAAGTCATGCGGGTACCCATTTTGGGAGAACAGTTTGTAGAGGTATTTCATTTCTGCTCGATAACTCGTTTCATCAGAGCAGTGGGTTTTGGCTCGATTCAGAAGTCCGTAGTCTGTGCTCCGTTTGTGAGAGACAGGGTAGTTACTCTCAAAGTGTAGGATGACCTCTGAATACGCCTCTTTGCGATAAACTGATGTCTGAAGTGATCCATCTGTTTTCAACGCACAAGGACATCCAGGCATGGGAGTTATCCATCGACCTCTGTTTCGAAAGTAAATGTAACTCCTGGAAATATGGAGTTAAAATTGGTATGGAGCAGATTAAACTGATCTTTCTTGACGATGACAAAAGTGTCATCTACGTATCGCAGCCAAAGTTTTTGGTTATGCTCTCTACGTTCTGCAGTAATGCTTCAGCCAGGAAACCGGATATTGGTGAACCCATGGGAGCACCTTTTAATTGCCGGTGTAAATGTTAGACAAAGTAGCATTGCTTTAGGGGAGCTTATATCATCATGCCGGCCTTTCACTGAGAAAAACTGGCCATCGGTGTACATTATACCCGAGACAAATATTTATTTACAGTGGACACGAAGCCCATGAAACATTGAGTCATTTTCAAAAACGCATCTTCGGCAATCACTAACGATTTAGAATAAGTTTTAATAAAGTGCGGTAGTAAATAAGACCCCAAGGAACTCCGTATAATCCAGTATGTTGTCTTTTGGTTGACTATCTAAGGCCAGTGACCGATATCATGAAATTTTAGCCAAAATCCTCAGGTACGTTTTTGATCAGGAAAGGTCATTCAAGTAGGGTTGAAAATGGATTAGTGTACAACATAGTCATAAAATATTGCAGTCACATCAAGATTCCGGCCTTCGAATGCGCTTTCTTACAACTGCCTGCAAAAATAGCACTCTGCAAAACAAATAAAAATGTTTTGCCATTTATTGTCGAGGCCTTATGAATCAAAATAGCTCAAGGAAAACAGTCCCAAAAATATCCTTTCATGTGCACATTAAGTGAAATATTACGCATTAATAGATGCTCTAGCAGATTTCGAATAATTCCTTTTTTGAGTCAACTGTGAAAACTCGGCGCCTCGGTTGAATTCGAACCCATGACAACAGGGAGGAGCCTCAATACCGCCATTGTTCCAGCCGCCTGAGCTACGAGGCCCGAGCGCGGTCTTCGTAAGCGGCTGAAGAAAAGGTATTCGAAAGCTCACATCTCAGCGTGACGGCAATATCTTACTATTATGCAGCACGATAATTCATTCCACAACCCCTCTTAACTTATCCTTCTTAGCCACAAACGAATTAGAGAATTCTAGTTACCCTTTTATGAGATTGGCCACTAACTGCAGCTGCAGGGAATTTTTCTGGTCATTTTGGACTTTTGTATATATTAATTCCCACTGACCAGAAAGGCTACATATAACATTCGTTTCATATGCTTGGTTTATGGGAAACTTCATACTCGTCCTTCCATTTTGAAGGACGGGTTTATATCCTTTTTAATACATATTGTGGGCTTTTTCGTTCTAGCATTTTCGAACTACAGATCATGCATTTTTAAGCACAATTACATACACTAGAGTGCCCCTCACTGCGGAAGACCTCGAAAACCCAAACTATTACATAAAATATACATCGCGTTGCATACGTTTTGAACTGCACGAATGTTCCTGAAATTAGTAAACGAGACCAACGGTCTTATAAACATTCGAGAAGTGTTTATAGTGGCAAATGCTCAGAACACAATATACCCTTGCTTTAGAGAAACATGTAAAACGAACTGAATTGCCTATGAGTACAAAAGTACGCATTTTATAATATTGCTATAATTTTCTCGTCAATGTACGTAGACACAATGAACGCAATAGAAAATTACACACCACATGACTCATGAAGATTTTTAAAGTAGAATCAACCTGGGTGGTTAAACAGATATCCACTAAATGGGTAGCCTCCTGTTGTGTAGAAATTGACGCAGAGTTGTGTTTACTGCTAATCAGTTTTGCAACCTCGTCTAAGTAGTATAGTCCGTCGGAGATCACATCAAAAATGTGGCAAGAGTTCCCTTTGTTTCCCCACGTTCTGCAACGCCCTTAGGATAATCTAATCTTAACTTTCGGCATCGGTTGGTAAACAGCCGCAGCAGACACCAGCCCCTTCCCGGATAGTTTGTGCAGGGCCCAGAAGGATGACTGCATAGCGTGTTAAAAATAGCCAGAAAGTGAAAGAGCTTTAAAAATATGTTGACACCAGCAAAGGATTCAGGAGGGACATTTTCCCTAGCTAGGCACGACCGCTTAGTGTCTGTTCTAAAAAAAAGACTTTGTTTTGCACGCAAGTTATCTTTAGCTGAGAATTCACGCCAGCCGACATAAAGCTTGGGAACAGAAATAGACGATTCCTTCGAATCTAGGACAAATACGGCTTTCATGATTTTCCGTTTTGAATATGATCAATGTTCCTAAGTTCTCAGTGCTGGCTTTTGGCGACAACATTCCACACGGGTATTTGCAGAAAGTGCAACGCACTATCTCTCAGACTTACTGTTTGGGGAATAGCAGCCGCCAACCGCGAGGGAGATGGGGCTGATGGTGCTGCTTAAAAAGTCAGACGTTAAAATTCACTCCTATTGGCATATGGCATGCATTTTCTGCTTCTACTAGCGTGTGTCTGTCTGTGGGAAAGGAGTTGAAGATGAAAGCTATTTTTATTTGGGTTCCGTTAGAACTTTAGACAAGGTTAAATTATAACTCTCTCCCACCTGAAATTCAATGCCAAATTATTATTGCTACCTACTTTCGTTGGGTGGACATCCGCATTTGGTTGTTGACTTCGAGCGACGTTTTCGCCATATTAGTGTTTAAATATCCAGCCTGAAATCGATGCATTTGAAAGTATTTTCACTAATTATTGTATTTTTCCTTCGCGACGTACGCCATAAAGTCCTAAGAAGACGGAAATATGGTAACTTTATACGACAAAATAATGGTGACTTGCTACTATTGATGTGGTACAATGTCAACTCAAGACGGTTCGACCATCCTTGCCGACGATGTCCGTCGTGTGTTCCACGGCAAGATGAAGCAGGAACGGGGACTTGCACGCGAATTACTTTCTAATGATAGTGGACTTGTGCAGTGTCTACCGCACTCCCTCCCCTTACCCCATATGGGTCGGTGTCAACACATAGTCAATAATGCCGAAGGTGGGAGAGTGCACAGGTGGCTGGCGCGACCGCACCCGCACCTAGGCGTACCAACACATCCCCTTGTCCCCAACAACCACTTGACCATGATTTTAAACAATAACAAAAACGGGTCCAAAAGAGAAGTATGACACAAGTCACTGGGTTAGCATGCCCATGACCTGTATACCCAGCGGGAGTGCAAGCGTATCTGTCGACAAGGAATCAGGTGCCAGAGAACTGCTGGCGCACTCCCGGCTGCGAGGACCATGGTTTGCTGAATAATGGCATAGCAGATGCAAACAATCCTTAAAGACCAGTAGGATGAGACGCAGGCCTGCACTTTGCCTGGCCCATTACCCTTGAAAGGCCTATATCCAATCACAGAGACGCGTGGGTATTCCTAGGGCTTTGGTAGAAAACGTACTTTTGGAAGTGCGTACTTTATTGTAATGATATTATCGCCTGTTGTTTCCGTTGGTACCGTCTTTGTAGGCATTATAAACAGCATTCAGAATGCAGCTGGAGTGAATTTGCGGTTGCCGGTTGACATCAGGGGCCGAGGTAGTTATATTCCAGTCCATACAAATTTTAACCAGAGATATTTTGACCCTCCCTCACGAGTGTGAACATAAGCGACTTTAAGCAAACGTGAAGCGGAGGGTCCCGGGATGAGGCTTGATGAGGTCAGCGAGGCACGCTAACTGTTCTATTTTTGTCCGGCATTTAATGTCTCTTTGTCTACAGTTAAGTTCCAGAAATCAAGTCATATGGACTCGTTTGGGTCCTATGGAATAACTGGAGTTCGTTTTTCTGCGGAACATGCAAATTTTTTTATTCGAGTCACTACTCGCGGTAGACGTTGTGCAAGTCTGCCTCAGTTGTGAACTAATTAACGCGCAAATCACTGTCCTGCGCCCACCACGCCTAAGGGCACACGGTGGGCATTGTTTCCTGGGGCGACCAAATTCTCATCTTCTTTGTCTACGCTTCAGCTGTGCTTAACTCCCGCAGTGAGAATCCGACTGCGATCTGATCCTTGGGACAGAGTCTGATGGATGCAACTGTGCAGGTGTTAATCAAATTTCCTTGGCATTTACTACCGCACCTCTAGAGGCCAATTTGTAGAAGGCTACTGTGATGATTCTGCTGGCCGAATCTCTCGGCGCTCAAGTCACCTATCCCGTTATTCGTGCAGACTCGGCGGGCCTGATGGAGATTGATAGACCTGATAACGGAATCTGTGTATGAGAACCAAATTAACGAGTAGGACAGTATGATTCCTGTACTGCCTAGTCCAGAAATTTTCGTGAAATAGAAATCAAAGTTCCCGTGACCAACTAGCAGCTCGGATCTCCCAATTGTGCCACTATATGGTGATACTGACTTAGAGGGCTGCTGACTGACGGGATAACTCGATCTTCATTTCAGGAGGGGGAGTTGGACTGTAACGGCTTCTTCTTAATGCGGCCTCTATGGCACTTAGCTGGAATCCGAGATCACTTCTTGTTTCTGTGATATGCGGGCTCATCGTGGGCGAACTAGGTGCGTGTGTCAAGTGCACACGGCTGTCTTGCCCTGTTAGTCACTTCGCTTGATCGTACATACAGTCTTCTTGACTCTATCTCGACACCTGGCTCAGGTGGGTGTGACAGATACAGCACAAGTCCGCAAATTCACGCACAAGTCACCGCCTCTGCGTCCGCCATACTCCGGACACACGGTGGACATTATCGTTTGAACTGGCAGGTGCATTCACTGTGACAGCAATCGATTTCCTTGATTTCGACAGCCTTGCCAGTCAGGGTACCGGCAGGAAAAAATCGGCTAACAAGAGAAACACGAATATAGGCTGTCTTATAACAATTTAACGATTTTGTCCAGTAGAGCATACGGCCAGAATTTCGGTGCAGGAAACCCTTCCGCCTGCAGTGATGCAAACGCGTCCTCAAAGAAACAGAAGGCTTGAGTCATTACTCTATTCGCGCTTAAAGTGCTTATCTACAGAACCTCTTAGCAGAAAATGGTTATCCCAGACATTTGATCGAGAGAAGCAGACGCCGGGCGCACAGGCGGTGGCTAAATGAGCAGCAACCCGAAGTCTGGAGGGCCATTCCCTACGTTAAAGGGGTCTCTGAGGCGGTCTCTCGGCTGTTACTAGCTGCCAGAGGAGGCATAGTCCATCGACCCCAGGCAAAAATTCGACGCCGTCTGATGCAACCTATGGACCCATTGTCACCCGCTGAGATCTCGGCAGTCCTCTACAAAATAAATTGCAAAGAGGACGACTACAATTATATGAGAGAAACCGGGCGGAAATTGTAGACGCGCCCACAAAAGCACAAATCGGTCATTGGAGGTTAGACTCTAACTCTCATCTAGCAACACACGTTGTAGAAACTGGGCATACTTTCGATCTCCAGAGTGCCACCATGTTTGACCAGGGCAACATAAACGCAGAACGGCTAACTCTCGAGGCGTGGTTCTCCAATGCCCACTCCATCAACAGGCATGTGGACCTTCCTGCAGCTTACAAAGCCCCTCGTCACAGCAATCATAGAGCTCAGGACCAAACAACCTAATTGGACTTAAGAAGGCCATGCGGAGACAGCCCGACGGCGAGTTTGCTCGGTGAGGAAGAACAAGAACTGCCAGATCGACCACCCGACAAGGGTTCAATCACCCCCCCCCCCACGACGGAGTATTGACTCACAGAGCACGCAGCAGAAAGCCCGTCAACCATCCCCCTCCCCCCCGAGAGGCCGAGGCACCGAGAGAAGAAAAAAATCAATTAGCGCGAGGCCGACCAACGTGACATGCCACTTGGGATTTCTGGTCGATTAAGTGCATTTTACGCTTTGACAATGGAGAGCCGACCAAGCTCTTCGAAACGTCAGCAGCTAAATAAGCCCGTTCCGGTGAGCCCTTCTTCTTCTTCTTCTTCTTCTTCTTCTTCTTCTTCTTCTTCTTCTTCTTCAAATCGTCATCCCTTGATCTCTCAAGTTTGCCAATCTGAGTCTAATTTCCCCCGTTCTTAGCCACGAGGCCACTGCGTGTGCGTACGCACGTGTTGTGGGTGATCGGCCGCTACGCGCAGGTGCGTATGTGATTGCGCATCGCGGTGTAAGTTCTTCGGGCATCGGTTAGAGTGCGTGCGTGCGTGCGTGCTTACGTTTGCCCACGCGCGTTTCTTCCGGCTGCGCTGTCGAGACTTGATCAGTGGATTACTGGCACGGCAGCTGCGGCTGACGGCATGCGAAAGCACTAAACCTTTACGACATGTGCCGAAATGCAACATTCCTCTGTGTGGATCAGGAAGTTTGCTATGAGGAAGGAAAACATGCATATTTATTGCTGTGATAGTCACATGAGTGGACTCGGAAAACACTTAGACGACGGGTGCTGTCCGCATAAACACATCCTAAATGGACCAAGAAATGCAAAAACAGGAAAGAAGGTCAGGTAGCCCGTAGAGATGCCCATGTAGTCGGCAAAACTACTAGAGACGAGTCAGGATAAAATGCTCAACTCGGCTGGCGCGATGACAAACTTTTGAGTCTGTGATAGTACCCCGAGTTGACTGACAAGTGTGTAAGATTCTCTTCAGGGCGATCGACAGCGAAAAGTAATTTACAGCCTATCCTATTCAGACCGTTACACTGTCTACAACGGACAAACTCTTACTGGCCTGTTGTCACTGACGGACGAAGGCAGAGAAATATAACTGTATAATTCTTTATTCGTGATCATTTTTCTATATCACGCGACAGGAAAATGAACTATTAATTTATAAACTATTTTTCTGAATAGGACAGAAGATCTGTAAACGGATGGTCATAAAAAACCTGTGCTTTCTGAAGCCACAAGACTGCTATTACGCCCATCGGGCTGCTCTAAATGCGATCAAAATCAGGAGTGTCTGTAAGAATTCCTTTAGTTTGTTCTTCCAGTCTGGTTCACCTTTTATGAATTTTACATCTTTTAAAGTTCATTCCCTTACATATTTCAAAAATGTTTCTATATAAATTTACTTAACTGCACGGCACACGGTGTTTCGTTTCTGTGCATAAGCATAAAAGCAACATATGTCAATCGCATTATCGATATATTTTTTAAACGCTGTCTCTTCGCATACGACCTAATCGAACTGACTAACTCGTCAAAATCCGCTGATGTGGACCTAAAATTTGTAACTTGTCGTTTTACAACTGTTTATATATGAATCATTTTACTTATTAGTCGCGCAGTCCCTGAGCCTGACATAACGTCCACATGCCTGTTAATTTTTATATTCATTTCGTGTGCTTTTTTTCCACAGATAAATAGCCAATGCAATTCCAGTTATATTTTAATAAATTAATTCATTATGCATGCCAGCTTCTGTTTTTCTATCTAAAATCGATGCCTCCACCTTGCAGGCGAACTAAGATTTCAAATTCATGCGAAAAATGTGGATAAGACAGTGGGCAAAAGTGAATGGATTTATACGTAAAAAGTCAGAGTCTTAACCAAAAGAATAGCCCTGCTAAATGCCGTCCTTCTATGATCAGGCCATCATTTAGTGACAAGTTATTAACAAAGGAACATGCGAGTAACTGTTTATCTGTTTACGGATGCCGTTTGTTTGCTATCGGGTTTTGCAGCGACCGGTAATGGGTTCCTGAAAAAGTAATGGGCAGCATCCAACCGAAACTCTACTTCCAGCTATAGATCCGGCTACAAATTTCAAATTAAGAAAATGTAACTGACAACTCCCCACACCTCACCGCATCTAAAGAAGGTGCCTTTTTCTATCACCCTAACTGCTCCTTTATGAAAGCAATCGTTAAAATATCGAATTTATGACATTTCGAAATCCTTTCTTACAGGAAGCGCTCTATTTGCTGTAGAAAACCTAGGAGTGCAAAAGCACTTAGGAACCATAAAGGGCATTTATCTTTACGCGATGTTCATTCCTAAAAAGGAAGTTAGGGGGCGACTTGTCAAAACTTCCCAGACAGAATAAGCACGTAGACGTAAACATGGGAAATAAAATATTTTCAAAAAGGATTAGCGAACAGAGCTAAAAAAACAGTCAAACTAAGTAACATATTTGTCCCTTGGGCAGGGACGTACTATGCTACCCCACTCATGAAAAGAGAACCTAGACATCGTGACATTTTGCGCCCCCGCCTTTTTTTACAATTGGCGCTTTCGCGCTCTTAAGGGACACAATCTTCTTCTCTCGAGAAAGCAAAATGGAAGAACTGCGGAAGTTGCTCAACTTTCGTTTGCATTGTCAGCTATCATGATACCCTTATCATTCCTCGGGATCAGGTTCCTGGTAGGTGCGCTCTTTTGCAAGTAGCTGTAGAGAAACCGAGCGCGAGGACGCAATATGCCACCTCAACATTTATCCGAATGTTCACCTGTTATCGCACTCTTCTTTCCACCTTTTTATCCCACCCACAAAACTCATATTACACGATGACCTGATTTTTGTTCCCTGGACAAGGGTTGCCGTCCCTTGACCGTGAACCGTGGTTGGACACACGACCAACCAGAAGGGTCGAGCACCAGAGCACTTCTTTTATTGTCCGGAGCTTTCAGACTCGTGCAGGAGTCCATCGTCAGAGGTAGTAGAAGCTACAGAACGAGCGACAGTAACAGGGTATGTTGGTTAATCATCGATCGACGGCGCTAGATTAGAGTTGACAACTCAGGCCCCTGATGTTGCTACTACCTCTGACGATGGACACCTGCACGAGTCTGAAAGCTCAGGACAATAAACGAAGTGTTCCGGTGCTCGAGCCTTCATCTTCACTTATGCATGCACCTGGAACTCGAAATTTCGCCTTCACGCATTGATGACTCGGCTTCCCTGGTGTTCCTTTCTATGCTTCCATGCCTCCAGTAAATCTGCTTATTTCATGATTGGGTATGCGCATGAACATCGAGGTGACTAATATTCGATCAAAAAAACTGTATATCTAGACTTCATTTGTAAGAGAAGTTACTGACCAGACTCTGTTCGAGTATTCATAAAAGCAATAATTCGGGTCGTGTAACAAGCTTTTAAAGATCGTCATTCTGCTAGTAGAATAGATCGCTTATTTCTGGCCACGTCAGTTTCTTCCTAGACAGCAACTGATTTTTTCGTAATTGCGAAGAAACAAAAATATCCTAAAACATACCTTAATACACCAAAATCACAGCATTTTATGAGTGCTTTTGCTGTGTCAAAACTTAACTGGGAAATTATTCTGCATAGGTCTCATGTGATTCATTGCAATAACAGTTAGACAAATTTGGACATTCTATTTATCGATTCAGATTTTAGGTGAAAGGAACTTGCCATTTTACCTTGCCGACTTTTAGCGTTCATTACGGCGACTTATACTTTTGGACGCAAAATCCAACCGGTAAAGTTCCAGAACTTACCTTCAAAAGTCAAACTTCGAGATAATTCGAGAGACGACTGTTAGCATTCATATAAAAAATATTCAGTACACGTAATAGAGTTTTAAAGAATAAAGTTTCAACCAGTAGGGTGGACGATTCGTCCTGTCTTTTTAAAAAATGTATTAGCAGTATAGAACGTACTGAATTACAGATTAAAGTCGCGCTGTAAGCCGACGGTCGTCAACTCCAACGAATAAATAATAAACCAGAACAACTAATTCATTCCTCCAGCTTTGGATAAATACCAGGAAATTAGAAATTTTACTTTGATAGCTTCATCGCCTGGTCAGTTGGATGCTGAAATCAGGGACACTAGAATAAGAGCATAAGAATGCCTATGAATATGTTTGTGCATATGGAGATTTATTTGTTGTGGTAAAGGCGTACCCGGGGTATGCTCTCCGCCCAGAACCCGCTTGCTTGACATGACAGTATTATCTGGCCAGAAAGACTATAGAAATCTGACTTCCTTTGCGGATTCATGAAAATGACACTTTAGAACACACCATCATTGAAAAGTACATTATAACACACGGGTTTGGTTCTCCCCACATTCGACTCTCTCTCTCTCTATTCTGACTTCCCATTCGAAGAGATATTTTTTTCAGCAAAGACATCTTATATCATTGAAAACTATGCTTACGCTCATGTCGGACTTTACCGAGAACAAGGATGAAGCAGGAGGGAAAAACCGAGGTCGAACGGACAAACCTCTTCCAACTGAATAAGGCTAAGCAATATTGTTGATCTTAGGCTGGTACAGGACGACAGATCAGATGCTCTTCTAAACTGTGTTTGCTTACTATGAGAAATTTACCGTCCACATTCCCTACAGCTAACGCCGTAAGTTGCAATGATTGTCCATCTACTAATGAGTGCTGTAAACCGATAACTGCATCGAGGTTTTGCCATGGTATAAGAAATTTGCAAATTCAGTACTGTGAACCTGAATAATTAAAGCAACAATTTGTTTAATTGCGCGAGGACACCCGAAAAGCTCAAAGCCAACTATGTGGCACAATAATCAAAAATTTTGTACTATCTATATAGGAAAAGGATGCGAAGACATAAGAAGAATGAGTGATAGCAAAAGAGGCTGTAGAAAAGGACTAATAGCTTTTATGGTACTGCATATTAGTGGACATGTCAGGGCAAGAATAGGACATGCTATGGATCCAGGTGTTTCTTCCTGATATGAGATCACCACATACTCTCACAACATCGGAAATCTGTCCAGACAAATATATAATATAGGATGAGTATTTTTCCTATCATCTTCTCTAATAAACAGAGTCAAACTTCCGGATGTTTTGCATGAGGTAGTTCCCTGCAGCTAGTTATAAATATTGACATCATTGTGTGATCTATGTTCACCTACAAATAGTCCCTCCACCATATGTACCTGACGTACATTTTAGGTAGTCATTAAAAAACGCTGTTTTAACCCTACACATACAACGCAGAGACATAAAACTCACTTTTCCAGTAGTTTTCTTCTCAACTGTTGCATGACTTTTATACGCTGTTCTTCCTCCGGGCCAGACATCCTGGGAGCAGTCGACACTGAACAATGCCTATTGTGGCCTGCCATGCCAGATGTTGATGCCGCTGTGCAGCCTGAACTGGTAGAGTTGACGGCCGCCGCGGCCTCCATGGCAACAATAGAAGCCGCGGAAAGGAGACCACCCGAACTAGCGTTGCTCTCAAAGCTGGTTGAATAGCCAAACAAACTACGGGCAGCATTGCCCGTCAATCGTATAGGTGCAGACCGAGTTCGGCTGAGAAGCCCTGACACCTGCCGATATCGTCGTTGTGGTCCTTGCTGACAGTTGGCCTGTCGACCTCTTGTAGCCTTCCCCGAGATGCCCTCCGACAAACTGGGTTTGGGGGCGGAATTCTTCTCTTCTGGTGTATCCATCTCGTTTACTGTTGAAGATTTTGCCTCCATCTTGGCTGGGTTAGATTCTCTTTCCTGTTTTATCAGGTCATGTACTGCTCGCAAATAGTCCTGCGAGACCATGCGCACGTCACCACGCATAGAACTCGAATTGCCCACCAGCGAAGAGATCAGTTGCTGCATTTCCTGTCCCCCGAAGGCCACTTTTGTCGTCGAGCCCAACTCTTCGGACATTGAAGGGGTACTCAGGTTCATCTCGACGTCTGAGGCAACTTTATTGTTCAGTGTCGCGGTCGATGCTAATTGTGGTGATTCTACGGTCGATTCATTGTCACTGGCAACCTCCATGGGCACGTCGGTTACTTCCTGCCCTACCTCTGTTTCTTGACGGCCGTCTTTCTGCTCTCCCATACCTTTCTCCAACAGCCCGTACGGAGCCGCCTTTGCAGCCATCGGTTGGGTCATTGGGGTGATTGCCACGGACGCCTGATTGGAAATACTGGTTGCGCCATGACTGCCCAGAGCCTCTCCGGCCTCAGCCACCTCACTGATGCTGTGTGCACATTGTAATTGCACCGCCGCCGTCGTCGGAGTTGTGGTAACAGCCAGGGTAGCGACAGGGGTCGTGTTCGTATTGGTCCATGCGGACCCAGCAACTGCGGCAGCAACAGCGGCCAGGGGGTTTAAGTTGCGTCGCTCACTGCGACCTGACCGATGCTTCGATCCCAGCGCAGTGCTCCGAATCTTCAAACTCGGTTCGGACATAGTCTTCCGTAGGCCAGAACTCTGTCGTGAGGAGGACAGCTCTGCAGCCCCCCCGCCACCAATTACTGGATAAAAAAATCCAGCATGACCGACACTGGCAGCCTGAGAGGCGCAGAAATTTGTCAGCATCCAGGGCAAGCCAGCCGACGTCGCACTAGTGCCCAGACCTTCCGAGAGGTGATGTGAGTTTCTGACAAACAGGGACTGTCGTTGGTTTTGACCGCAAAACGACAGAGATGCCGCACTGGAGGGCTGAGTCGTGTGTGCTGATGTCGCGTATGCACTGTCAAAGGAATCGCTTCCACCGAGGGTAGATTTCTGATGCCGGCGTAGGCTGCAGTGACTTCCAACAGTAGCTCCACCCTGTTCTGCTGGTGACTCCTCGGCATCCAGTGAGGAGGGCGAAATAAATGAGACCCCCGCTGACGCTGCACCCTCCCTGCTTCGTCGTTTATTTAAAACGCAGTCCTTGAGGCGTTGTTTCACGAGGGACGAGACGGGGGATTTTACAGCGCTGTTTAAAGCGCCGCTGGCTAAGCCTGTATTGATGCTGCCGGAAGCCGTCGTGAGAGCCTGTCGACAGGTAGCCCTATTAGCCTGAACAACACAAGCGGCGGACGACGTACAGCTAGAGGACTTCTGACTGCAAGCAGGCAATTCCTTGATCCCTGAATACCTGCGCTGTCGCTGTTCGTCCTGTTGGAGATCTAGACTTTGCGGAACAGCTGAATCAGTCGTCGGCACGGTGAAATTAAGGGACTCGGCGCCGCGTTCGTATATTTTCGAACCGCTGGATGCAGACTCGACCAGCGCTGCGTGGGCAGCACCGTCTTGGAAGTGCTGCGACCCATCCACCTCATCAGAATGCTTTTTTTGTGGTCGAGAAAGGTGTTGCTGGTAACCTGAAGTTGCGGTAGTGTTTTCCATCGGCAGACCGGCGGAGGGAAAGCAAAGACCAGAAGAAAAGTCAAGCACCTGTTTACACAATAAGGGATTATGCGCAGTATGATCTATAGGCCGAGAGGGACCGAAAGCCTGCTGATCCCTCGCATCTTCATGAATAAAAATACTTTTGCCAATAGTTTCAGTAGAACTGACGTCGCGATGCCAGTTAACTTTCATCTCAACTCCCTAAGTTGGAGCTGGGCAATGACAGTCAAGATTTTCTCTTTGTTGTTTTCTGCGCAGGGTGTGTCGTGGTAAAGCCACGTCCGCATTTGCTGACCGTTAATTCCACAAAAAGGGTTAATCCACAAGGGGATGTTGTAGTCGTGCAAGGGGTCGATAAAAAGTTTACTCCTCAGTGTTATAGGGAAGGCTGCCAATAAACCGCTTGTCCCCTATTCAGTATGTGCAGTAAACAGCCTTTTACTTTGAAATTTCTGTCTTTCAGGCACGCTTCTCCTGTTTGACGCGCGAGCAACTTCGCCTGTCAGTTCCTTAGCTGGGAAACGAAGGCAACTGGCATATGAGTAATAAGGTTTACACTTGAACTGGATGCAAAGATAAGGAAACCAGGTTCACTGGCAATTGGTGTGACGCGTCTGGACAGCGCGCCGAAAAGGACTGTAGGCAGACGAGGCTGCGCAACCATTGGTTAGCAGAACGTAGCTGGGTTGGCCTTGAATTACGGCTATTTTTAAATTTGGAAAGAGCTCTGTGATTGGTTGGCCGTGCAAAAATGTGTGGCTACAGTAATCATGATATTATTAGGTCCGCACCATGCGCGCATGAACAAACCTACTGCATCGCCAACGCGCTGCCTACAAAACATTTCCACTAAAAGTTGCTAAATATGATGGAAATTTGTCTTTCGGCAAGAGTGCAATTATTTTTAGTAAGACTAGGTAGCCTTAGGAAGGCCATAGGATGGGCTTTTATCCCTGCGTCGCTCAGCGCTAGCATTGCGGAGAAACCCACACGAAATGCTCGTCTGGAGGGAAAAAGACGGATAAAAATTAATGCGGAAATAAATTCAAAAATTAATGCCCCCTGTCTCCAAATATAGAGAAAAGATCTTATTGATACGAAACAATTCAAAAACTAGTAACCATAATTATTACCACACGATGCAAATATAGCAAGGAAACGTTTTTTAAAAAACCTCCCGATTTAGAACTGGAAGATCTTTAAAGATTGCGCGTGATTCTTACGAAATTTCAATTATAAGGTCCGCTTACGTTTGGTAGATCCGTACTGGTTATTGAGTTTTAACTGCAAGATACATGAGACTGTGGTGTACTGAGCTTAGATTATGCAGTAGAAGAAGCTGGGATACATTATTTTACTGAAACATACAGCTGCATCGGAAGATATTATTCCACATCTAAAAAAGTATGAAGTGCAATAAAATTACCAATGGACGAATACCCCAATCCTATCTGTTTAGATTATGACATAACTCATCCGACTGAATCGGCGTTGCATCGCCTAGTTTCCCCTAGCCAGTTAACGTATTCTCTCACAACATGCATCCCAGTTATAGCAAACCATGCTATGTTGTCCAGACGTTCATACCATGTATTCTGTGATTGAGCACTGCCCCCTATGCGCCCGCATAATATTACCTGGCATAGAAAAGAGACACGCATATACTTCCTACTGCCAGCATGAAAATAGCATTGACTAGTAAAGCAGGCCAGGAATTAAGCAGCACGCAATACCAGTGAGATATTTCATGATAAGTGATGTAATACTCTGTACTGGGTAGGACATCCTTGAAGGCATTTGTTTTGTCCCCCCTAGTTCGCGAGACAACTGTATCGTTAGCATCAATGTAAGGCGAACGCATTCGGATGTCAGTCTATTTTAAAATCAGATGTTTTTATGAAAAGTTTAAAAAATGCATTCGCATGATGTTCACGTAGGTTTTCTGTCTTGTTTATTTGAGTAGTGAATAGTACGGACAGCAAGATTTTACTCGAGACTTCCTCGATCAGTTGCACGCTTTACAGTTCCTTACAAGTAAGATGGTATATATAGGAGTAGGAGGAGGAGGAGGAAGAGAAGGACAATGGATTGAAATAGACATTCTAATGCAACCAAAGTTCACCTTTAAACTAAGTCAAGAAATTAAATGTCAAATGGGGCAGATCACATTTGATGAAAAGTTAAGTGTGTATCGACGGCAGTATCTATTGACCTTTGTGTCAGTCAAATACGAGAATAGCTGCTTCATTGCCCAAAGGCAAAATCTATTCATTTTTATAGATAAGAAAAAGTACATTGCAACAAAGTAGGGAAATGGGGGAATACCAAAGTCAGAAATCACTGCCCCAACCGGAATTCAAACGTCGAGTCATGAATGCCTATGGAACGATTATCTGCGAAAGTACTCAGGAACACAATTATTCTGAAAAAGCGTCAGGTTTTGTATTAACGAAACATTTTATAAATCCTACTATTTTAAAAATAATTGCGATTATTTCGCTTAGGATGATTAATACGCCTACATATTTCATTCCACGTTAGCCATCCGCTGCAGTGTTGTCAATGTTCACGCGGACATATGCTATACGATAGCCTCGCACCAAGCATACAGTAGGTGGGCTAACTCATGAAATGTCAACCGAAATTCCGAAATGCGTTTTCATTTCGAAAAGGTTAATTAAGTAGGGTTGTAAAACTAGTCAGACTGCAGCAAAATTCTATAATAATTCGGTAACTTCACGATGCCGGTTTTCGAATGAACCTACTACCAGCTCCATGCAAAAGCTACGCTCTGAAAAAATGGCTACTTAAGTGGCATGAACTTTTCTCATTGATTTTCGATACCCCTAAAAGTCCAATTATATTTCATGGAAAACACGCATGTTTCTATTTCGGTCTTAGCTTGTGGTCATGGCTATGCTGGGCTGAGTGACGGTAGGAGAAGCTCGAAGTAGTACTGTATCAATCTATGCGTATTCTCAATCATCCCTACCCTCTACGCTAATAACTCGCAGGAACGGTGCCAAGAAAAGTGCTCCTATAGGAAAAAAATATAAATAAGCGTTGCCAGTTGGCCAACTTATGGAGAGAATCGTTGACACAGGTATATCTGAGCAAACATTGCTTTGCGCATTTAGTGTCTTAGGTTTATAGCTCCCAAAATGCGCGAAAACCCCTTTTGCCTAATGCTAGCGCAGAACTTTGTTTTCATCGCCCTTAAACAAAATATTCGGTCAATTAATTAAGTTATTGAACTTCATGCGAAACGGATGGACGACCTTGAGCCAGCCATGCAAAGTTTTCATTCGAAATAGGCTCCGGAGAGACGTGGTAAAAGGTCTAGATCCTCCGTTATTGCTTTTCAGGGGTTCGCAAAGCATTACCTAAATTATCATTAAAAGACAATTTATTCGTGATTTGTCCATTCGCGCTAGCTCTTGTACCCCCATTTTAAACGGCTTATGTTCTGCTTTTGCGACATAGTGGCCGGTCAAAATATTCTGCATAAATCTGGTATCATAACAAAAATGCCCAGTGGAATGAATTTGAAAAATATGCATTAAGCTCCACGTTATTAATTGTGCCTACTCTTTGCGACTTTAGGCTTAATTAGAAACCTGTCATTCAAATTGTCTTGGTCAGAGGAAAGGCAAACTTTCACGGAAATTGCAAATTAAAGGACGAAGATTTTAATACGAAATTTGATCTTCAGTACGTGATCTATCTAATGGTATGCTGACGGGAATTCCGAGGTACGTTTCTAAAACGTTTTTAATATTGCTTATCATGCTTCACAATCTCAAGATATTTTAATTACGACAGAATGCCGAACTTTGAATGTGCGTCTTCCCGACGGTCCAAAAAAACTACCCCCCCATAAAAAATTACAATCTAAGTGGCGTGATTGTTTCACTGATTTTTGATGCATTTATGAATTTGAACAGGTTTTATAGAAAGCATGCACAAAGTATATTCTTTTGCACTTCTTTAGTCACGGATCCTATTTTCTTCAAACTTTATTCTTTACGAGATGGTATCTTCAGTTTCCAAATAGCTTTTAATTATGAATTCCTATTCAGACAGCATCGTCTCCGTCTGCTTATTGATGCTCCGTTTGGTATGCAACATAATCCTCGTCCACTGGAAACTCTTATGAGTTCTCTGTGGAATCTTCCTAATGCTATTACCTATTCTGAATGAGAAAAATAAACTCAGATACAAATGTAACAGTATGTTAGGTTCAAGGTCATTTTAAAATTGTGACATTTTCTTTTGTGTGGGATTTTAATGAAGCGCATTTGAACCCATAGGTGCATCAAAAATCAGTGAGCAAACTTTCCTGCTTTAGTAATCACTTTTGTTTAATGTGTGCTTGCAGCTTGCCAGCAAGAAATGCGTCTTAAATCAGGCATACTAGCGCGACTGAAGTACTTTATAATATGCTGCACGCTAAATAATATTATAACGCAACTTAGATGATTCTATCCAATCGGAAACGCGTTCCAGAATTTCCGCTAAAATTTCTTGGAATAGGCCGACTACCGAATTTCTGTTTAATAACGCCTTTAGGCGTGATGGGACTGCTTAGATCGTCTGTGGTAACTCCGGGATAGCATCAGGCGTTGCTAATTAAACACCATCTGGTGGGCTGTTTTCAATGAATGCACCTAAGATTCCAGATTACTTCGGATATATAATTGCTGAGTATGCAGTTTTAACCCAGAATTTCCTGCCTGTTCGATGAATGTACCTGCGTGGATTTATTACGATCAATTTACTTCTTATCTAATTCATTTCTATTAAACCTGGATAACGGACTGCTTCAGCGTACACGGAAGAACAAGAAGAAGCCCCAAATGCTTTGCCAGGCAGTAGGTCTATTAGGATACACCTCTCAGTTTTGGAGGCAAGGGTTCTTTTTACACTTCATTAAACTCACCTAAATAAATCTGTGGATATTTACTTGATTTTCACCTGACTTCTGCGCTGATACCTAA